TTAAATAAACCTTCTGCTTTACTGGTTGGCTGAGAGTCGCAGTGAATCTCGGGAAGAGGGGTGCAGGGCCCTAACTCCCCCACAATCCGCAACAACGCCGATGTGGCCCTCAGGCCAAAAAGTTTGCCCACCCCTGTGCTAGGTATATTAAAGCTATAGTGTGGGTATTCCGAGCCGAGCTGCAATCACACCTTCCATTGCAGTGTAGACACACTCTGAGACAGACTCTGCACTGAAAAGCCTCCAGTCTAAATAAACAAGACAGACCGGGCAGGGGAAAGGGCAGAACACACAAGCTGAGCGAGCAACGTGACAATGGCAAATGTCATGTTACTTCCACAAATTTTGTTTATTTATTTATTTGTGTATTTAAATCTTCTCAGTGGCGTGCTGTTACGCGAGGCGCAGCTTTCTGGAAAGACAAATGAAGGGAGAGAGTTGGTGCAAACAGCCAATCAGCACAAGGCACAGCGTGATCAGAATGAGAACTGCAGAAGGCAGTCTGGGGACATCATCAGTTTCTGTCATTCCCTGCACAAACACATGCAGCCACTGCTCTGCTGCCTTCAAGTCTCTGGCTGGCTCCTCCTTGCCATATGTCCGGGGGGAGAGGGACACCACATGGTCCTAGTCCCCCAGAACAAGAGGTCAATATAGTTCTGAGGCCAGGAGGCTCTAGGGGTGGAAAAGATGGCTCCAGCTGGGACCCATTTTACCCCCTGCCTGCCCAGAGGAACAGTACCTGCTTAAACTGCCGACAGCCGGTGGTGGATTAACGCACAAGCCCACAGGGTCTGTGCCTAGGGGCCCTGGCCAATTTGGGGGGCCCCCATAGGAGCACCAGAATGTGTGTGGAAGTGGAGGGGCCACCTGTACTGGAACTGTAGCCCCTGTTCCTCCTCTGCCCCAGGACAGAAGCTGGAGCCACACCATGGCAAGAGCTGCCTAGGGAGCCCAGACCCTCCACCTGCCCTGGGCAGGGGTGCCTAAGAGCAGCCCCCGATCCATGTCCCCACCCCCCGGGGAGTGCAGCCCATGGCAGGTGGAGGGTCCAGGGCTCCCTGAGCAGCTCTTACTACTGCCTGGCTCCAGCTTCCGCACTGGCCAGGGGGTCGGGGCTGGGGGGAAGAGGAGGGGCAGGGGGTGGGGTCCCATGGGGGGGGGCTAAGGCCCACATCAACCCCCCATCAGGAAGAACTAGCAGGGGCTGTGCTTCATAACAGGGGAGCTAATCACCTTATCAGCTCCCACACTGCAAAGTGCAGCCCCTGCCACTGCCACTCTGTGCCTGCCCAAGGCTACTATGCCCATGTTAAAAAATGGGGGGCCATGTCCCACTCCCCCCCCGCCAGTTCTGCTTCCCTCTGGGATCTGGGAGTCCAAATTGTTCTTTGTGACCAGGGCTCCAATAAATTTTAATCTGCCTCTGCCTGCAGCTGCTGGGCCACCTCTCTGCGGAATGCTTCCCACATAGGGTGTGATACTAGTGGGTGCAGCAACCACAGAGAAGCTGCCCTGACCGTGTCAGGTGGCAACCAAGAAAGAGAAGTCAATGTATGAGACTACTCCACGCTTCCTGTCCAAGTGGGAGCCATAGCACATTTAGAACCCACATAAACCAGCCCTTCACAATACTTAATCTTCTAGACCAATAGTTAGGCTGCATATCAGGAAACTACAGTAACAAAGCTTTACTTACGCTGGGCATACGCTGCAGGCAGAAAAAGACTGAAGGATTTATGTAATCCTTGAAAATCAACTTGGGGCCAGGTATCCTTCTGTTTGCATGAGCAATATGCTACCTACAACAGCTGTCCTGCCCTACAGCCTGTCCCCACAGAGTCCTGATCATTCCCAGCAGACTCTGAGCATGTGGCATTGCCACAAATGGACATTCAATGGCTCTTGGGGGAGAGGAAGAGCCCTTTGGAGCATGTTGCTTGGGCTATGCGCTTCCCTCCCCTCCCTTTTGGTGTCTTTGGGATTTTCCCTTCCTTTTTTTCATTGATTTCCCCTCCGCCATGCCTCACAGCCGGGGGAAGTTCCGTCTACATCACAAACAGTAACATGTTCTGCATAACCCTGGGCAGAACACGGCCCTAGTTAACTTATTTTCCATTGAAAGAAAAGGTAAAATGAAATGAAAAAAGCACCAACTCAAACCAGTTTTTCTTGATCAAATTTTATTCATTTGTATGTTAATAACTAGAATCAGATCTAACAAGCAAGATTAATAGTCAAATAGGTATAAATCAGATGAATTCATTATTGTTCAATCAATTACACAACAGAGGACAGCTTGGCTCCCCATGGCTCGGAACTATTTTGCATCTCAGTCAAAACTGCTGCTAATGATGTCTCAAAATGAGGAACAGCACAGGCCTACATTGGGGTCCTATTTTTATATCTTTCATGGAACAAGGTGATGCTACGGTGTCATTCCCACATAACAGTCTCTCTCTTTGCAGCGATTGTGCAATACAAGCTTCACTGTCCGATTTCTTGCCATGCAAGTGGATGCCAACCCCAGCTGTTTCAATCCATCAAAGTGTGGAGATGTCAGGCACTAAAGACAGCATCTGACTGACAGTGGTGCTGGAACAATTTGTATAGTGGGGGTGCTGAGAGCCATTGAACCAAACTATAAACCCTGTATATGATGGAAACTACTTCAAGCCGAGAGTGCTGCACCCCTAGTTCCAGCAAGAAAGTGTAGAAAAAGAGCATGTGCCTGAGGAAAAAGACAAGTCATAGAGAATAAGTAAGTAGCTGGAAATCATATTTAAGTGATGGTAGTAAAAAGAGTCAGGATTGAGGCTTGCTGCATGTAAAGAGCATCTATAAAGGACAGATTTCAGAGTAGCAGCCGTGTTAGTCTGTATCCGCAAAAAGAACAGGAGGACTTGTGGCACCTTAGAGACTAACAAATTTATTAGAGCATAAGCTTTTGTGGACTACAGCCCACTTCTTCGGATGCATAGAATGGAACATATATTGAGGAGATATATATACACATACAAAGAGCATGAAAAGGTGGGAGTTGTCTTACCAACTCTGAGAGGCCAATTTTTTTTTCTCTTACTTAATTGGCCTCTCAGAGTTGGTAAGACAACTCCCACCTTTT